GAAACTTCCATCAGAGGTATTGCACCCTGGTACATGTTGCAGACACCTGGTCCAAGCACATGAGCTCCATTCATCTCACCACTCTTCCAACATCACTCACTTGAGTTGTGAAGGATCTAGAAGAAATTCTCTACCTGCTGAATGGGGCAACAGAGAACTCTCTCCTCTCCAATTTGCTTCTCAGGCAGCAAAGTGACTTGCCACCAGTTTTGTATTTTAATAAATAAGAAAATGAAAAAGAATAATTCTGACTTGCTTGTTCTTGTTGACTCATACTCATTTCAATAATAAAATATGTCTGGAAAATAACTACTAATTAAAATTATGTAGTACACTAATAATACAAGCATCTATTTAATTAATGTGTGTATCATCACAGTTATCTGAAAGCAAAAGGCAGATTACATTGCTTCTGGCACTAGCCTGAGGGGAATGGCACAACAGCCTGGCTTCACTGCCTACCCTCATCAATCAGAGTCCCGGAAAGCCAAGCGGGCTGCTTCAGTGCTACTGCCACTGAAGGAATGAGGGACGGTGCTGTAGAATGAGTAGCAGGCCCACTCCCCAAAGCTTCTTTTCTTCACTATCTATACCTTAATTTCAAATAAATCTTTTGCTTCTTACCAAAGATCCCCATGGAGAAGTGCAATAATAGTCTCCTTCCAAGAGTTGCCTCCACCCTGTCTCTCCAGCAACACAAGTAGATTGGCATAGGCTCTTTGTCTTCAACAATGTTCACAATGTGCCTACATGGCTCAGGAACCTTGAGCAGGCTTCAGTAAAGCACTTTGACAGCCTAGTCTAGGATTTCTACAGTGCTACCAACAATAACTGGAGCACCATTTGTTGACACTAATGAATAAGAACATTCAGAATCATCTAGACTGCGGATCCAGGAAACAGATGTTTTCCAGTGCCTTCCCTGGCATATGAATCAGTACTCACTACACGTAACTGAGATTGTGGTCTGCATCACAACAAATGTGATTATCTTAAACAGAGTATCAAACATCATAAAACAGTGTCAACACAGAACATCTTCATCTGTTGATATCTGAGCAGTAGGTCTTAATGATAAACCAGAAACAATGTGGATTAGCTAGACTGGGGTAACAACTCAAGGAGATAGGGTCCTACTACATAAATGAGAATCTGGTAGAAACAAGTCTGAAAGTGTACATGGTATAAAAAAGTGGCTGTAAGACTGATACAAAACCTTACTTATGACAGATCACTGAAAAGAAGAGACATCAAACAAACTTGTATAGCGGCATGTTCCAGACATATTTTGCATTTCATCTTTGAACTCAGTTTGCATAAAGAGAAGCACAGGAGCAGAAATACTTACCCACAGGTAAGCAAGGAAGCAAACAAAAGAACTCTTCTTAGTTTATAAAAAACATAACACCATAAAAGCATGAGTGCCTGTACTGAACAAGATCAAAGATCCTGCTAGCCGAGCATCCTACCTCTGACAGTGGCCAAAGCTCTTTTAAAGAACTAAGAACATAACAGGCAAATGCATAAATCATCAAGAGGCTTCTACACTCTAACCAATACTGACAAAATGGATGACAGAAGGTTATACCAGCCTACGGGTATTAGCCTGAGGAAACGATGTTTTACTGTTTTTCTAATTATGTTGTCAATTTTTTCTCTAACAAACTAACTGATTTTTAATTAAGATATCTGGAACTTGGTATTGGAGACTTGTGCATCAGGGAAGGATGGTTCCCACAAGCTGCCTCTTGAGAAAACACAGAGCTTTGAATAAGACCTGGTCTAGTTCCTGCATTAAGGGAACTGCAGACCCAAAGAAGTGAAATAGCAGGAAGACTGGAACTGCTGCAGCAGAAGAAAACACTTGAAATTATTAAATCTCAAAGAAAAATCCCCAATCCACTATCAGCCAAACTCGTGTGCCAAAATTAATGTTGTTTGACATCCAATGTCTACAGTGATTGCCATTCTATACCTATAATGGGATTTGATAGCATAGGTGGACATGAAAATGGGAAATTATTAAAAAAGTTTAAAGAATGTAAAAAATATTCTGAAGTTACAAAACACACTAGGATAAAACAATTAGTCACACGAACATATAGGCAGCTCATCAATTACATACAGAAACTTAATCACATAAAATGTAGTGCACGGATGAACCTCTGGACCTGTATGGATCAGTTTGTAATTACTATACCATATAAATTAACATCAGTTAACTTAAATGAAAGTGACTGAATATTCTTCTGGTATTTTACACCAATATCTAGGAACAACTCATTGATGAAATGTGAAATTCCAACCCAGAAAAATGGATCTACCTTACCAATGGCTAAAGTGTTCCCTAAATATTACAGAAGAAATTCTATCCCAATTCGTGCTCTTGAAGTTTCCACAGACTCATGCATACCCTGTTTTTTCTAGCAAGCAATGACAGGCAATTCTTCACCGCTGCTGAAAACTGCTGGAGTTTTATACTGTTGTTCAATACAACAGTACAGAGAATTTACTCAAGTTCATTTAAGTCAGGAAGACTCTGTTGCTTATGCTCTGGAGAAATATTGGAAAACACTGTCAATTGGATATTTCAGAGCTTTCTTATCTTCAGAATTTGTCATTTATAAGATGTCATCATCTGTAGTATGTTATTCTGGAAACTTACTTAGAGGTAATGAGCAGGAAATTTGGCATTACTTTCAACATCATTCTCCATAATTATTTCTAAATCATAGTACAAAAATATTTTTCCACTCCATGATTTATGCAGCTTGTGCTCTTGTGCGCTCTTTGATGACTCAAAATTTCAACAGGGCCTCACGACATTATTTTCAACTTTCTATGTGCAGCTGGAGCTGGTGGGCCATACATTCCAGGACTATCTGCAGCATCATATTAAGAACTATTAAGTCAAGTCATGTGCGAAATCAGCATACACAAATTAAGTTTTTTAATGTCTATGCCAAGTCCTATACTTCAGGACCGAAGTAGATTTGCAATAGCTGCAGATGAGCTGTTGTTCCTCTTTTGTGTCTTGTTCCAGTGACAGCTACTTCTTTGATTTTAATCACAAGCAACTTTTCCTTATTTTCAAAGTCTTTTACCCTCCCATTAAGTGTCAGTCTCTGTTTCTCATTGGCCTGTATTTTGAAGCAAATAACTTTGTACTTCTTCTTACAATGTTTATATAGCACCTCATACAATTAAGAATTTCTGGGTATTCTGGTACTTGCTTTGCTTGAGCTTTCCTGGGTGACCAACTCTAAACATGCTCTAAGTAGCAGAATAGATACTTTCAACTTTCAGAGCTCTTAACGCTACAGAAATGGGTTACAATTTATGAGCTAGAGGTCCAGTATGGGGCCTCATGAAGAGCCAAGACCACTGCAGGAGACCAGGTGATTGTCCAAAGAATGTGTCAAGGGCAACGATTTGTACTTAAGCACTTAAGAGCAAGATGCTGTGTGAGCACAAAACCAGTGAAAAAAAAAAACCCACCCACATTTAACAGGATAAGCCTTGCTTTGATATGTCAATTGTTTGCATATAGGATAAAGGGCTTAGACTTATTTGGAGCTAGGTAGAGAAATCAAGACTAAAATGGAACAGTATGTCTCAAAGTATTCAAGGTAAACAATATGCAGACAGTATGAGCTAGATAACTGAAGGGCAATTTGGGGGACTTTTTTGGGGGAAAAAAAATTTCCCCCAAAAAAATCTGTCCAGAGATGGATCATATTGCACCCCGATAACAAGCAGCATGACATGGTAGAGAGACAGGTCATAGAATTGTAATTCAGTGGTAGTTGTGTGTAATAAATAAGACTTAGAGTGATAAACTCGGATCTTGCTACAGTGTGAGGAATTACAGAATTGCACATTAATAATAGTGATGTCATTATTAGCTAGGTCATTTAACTGATTTATTCGATTATTGATAGGGGGGTGATTTAACAATAAGCATTATAGCCTGTCATGTCTAGCCTGCAGTTGAAAGAAGTTAAGAACTTCAGGTAACAGCTGACCTCTCACCCCTGCATCCTCGGAAGGACATTTTGGGATTGGATGTATTAGTCTGCCAAGTCCTTAAGGGCCGCAAACCTTTGGGGTGAGTTTTACCACAGATTTCACAGACTTTCCTTAAGGAAAAATGGCACTATTTCATTTTAGCTTAGTTGGTGCAAACCACTAAATAGATCTAAATAGATCCTCATAATTTGAAGACTAGTTTGCTTCAGGTGAATTAAAACTTCAGCTTAAGTGATCTAAATAATATACTTTTAACAGAAAAAAAGGATGGAAAGTTAAGAACCAAATCTTAATTAAATCAGTTTCTATTCACATGCTCGGGCAAGCCTGTAAAATTTTCACACGCATGCTAACACTTGTCTAAGTACTCAGCTTTTGTGCATTGCTGTATTTTCAAGTAGGTTTGTATTGGACACAGCACACTTCCCACCTTCCTTCCTTTAGGAGCTTTTCCTGCATTTGTCTTGCACAACACTTGCTGGGACATTGCCAGCAGCCTCTTTCTTCAGCGCTGAGACAGGGTGATGCCCACACAGTCCCTAGTCACGTTCCAATACATTGCCTTTACAGAGAGGGCACTTGCAGGTTTTTTAACTGGGTTGTTTTGGGTTTTTTTCCTTTTTTTAAAAGGCCTTTCCTGGCGCTCCATGGGATTTTTCCCCATGGCTGCCCAACCTCAGCAGCTCTCCCTCAGTGGCGGCAGACAGGTGGGCCGCTTCCCCTGGTACTGTTTCTCAGTTGGTAAGCCTGGATGTACAAAAAAAAAGAAACAAACAAAAAAAAGAGTATTTCCCCAAAAATTAGTTTTCTGAGCCTTCCCGCCTTCTGCTCCTTCGCCGGTCCGGGTGTCCTGGGGACAGCCCGCTCGGAAACGGGAGGCCTCCTCAGCCCCTGCCCTCCGGCGGGCTCGGGAGCTAACCGCC